CTTATGTCGATGGAGGTATCCATGGCTAACCTGTCTGGCTGTAATCATTGTTCTCCTAGTCTCACTACTTCTCTATCTTATACCTTTAAGGTATTTGATTGTAGCATATAGTAAGTGTATATATATAAATATTGTTGTGTACATTTTCATGTGTGTGCTTGTGTGTGTGTGTGTGTCTAGGGAAGTGTTTTAACAAAATCATTTGAAAACAATGAATTAACTGGTCGAAACTAATGTCTGAAGACTTCCTTCAGAAGCTGCTTTTTCTCGTTGATTTATGCAGTAATTAAGTTTCAACGTAGAACCTTGCACAGAAGTACAGCAGTTCCAGTTGCCCCAGTCCTCCAGGTAGCACAAAAAGCTACAGAAAACAGACAAAATAGAAACTTTCATGAGTTAGTTTGTAAGAATTAGATTTGTTTTCTTTTTTGAATTCGACCAAGGATTGATAACAGTTAGGGAATCAACGAAACCCAACCAGGGGGTACTGGACAGCTGTTTCATCCTATAAATATATAAGTGTAAAACTTGGGCACTGTGGTAGTAAGTAATTCCATATCAGTTTGTTTATTAGATGTATCACACAGTGAAACAGTATTATTATTTACTGGATGACAATGTTTCGAACAAAATTTATTGTTCGGAAACCTATGAATAAAGACAGCTGCCATCCTCATATCTTTCACTTCCGCTTGATGGCAAAGATCAGGTGGTCAGAAAGGATGAGTAACAAGGAATTCTTGAAGAAAACCAGTCAAGAATCTGTGATATAACGAAATTTGCAGAAAGAAATGAAGATATTTTGAACACACACTAAGGTGGGCTTTCAGGCCTTCCGGTAGAATCGTATAGTAGGTAGGAATTGACGATTTAGACATAAGTTCAAGTGTTACATAGATGGAGTTTCCTGGAAGGGAAGTGGATGCCTGTGAGTGGTTGTGTGGGGGAGTATTTGAGAATGAAACTGACGGTGAACCGAGTGCACCCTGTCTTCTATTCGATAGTCATCGAGTCAGATTTCTTTGCGGCTTCAAGTTTAAGCTTTTAAAAATTCAGTAGTGGCTGCCAGGCCCACGCCCAATCTTCCCTCTTTACTGAAATGACCACACGCTAAACGATTTTTTAATTGTGCATCATCAGGGAATTGAATCCAAACCACATCCGTGGTTCACAAACATCATACCGCGTTGAAAGGTCAGCGCAGTAAGGAACCCCATTGCTTAACAAACAAATAACAAAATTGTGCTGATTTCAAAGTTAAATGCTCAATGAAATATCCTGTTCAAGTTTTCAATATTTACCAGAATTTTTAAATTTCCCCGCTACTTATCTGTGCTTATTTTCTTTTCAAATTTCTTTTCAAATTAATTTCGATTCTCCTTTTCTTCCTGTTGTTATAGCCATTCGTAAATTTACACGTGCTATAAGAAATCAACATCGGCCGTCTACTACAATATTCCTTGGCATTTTAAATCGTGTTCCAAGTCGAATGGAAAAAGTAAAGTGTTGATCTGATTTTCTAAAGGGTTTATATACATTTTTAGAAAGATACACCAAACTACATAGCTTCTGAATTATTGACCTCTGGTGAAATCGAAATTCTTTAAAATAATGTATACTGAACAAAGAGTACTGTTTTCGATAACTTCCTCTTCGTCAGGTTCTGCAGTTATCTATACATTATAGTGAATGAATGAATGAATGAATTAGTGCAATGAACAACATTAATGTTGTATAAATAACGTCGAATCAATAATAATACCAATAGATTACAGTTCAATAACATCAACATAACAATGTACTGAATATCAGAAAAATTAGGAAAGATAATAATACAAATTCACGAATTTATAGTCTGTACTGAAAGCCAGCCAGGACAGCAGTAATGGCTGGACTTGTTTCTTCTGCACACAGAGAACTGATTGCTTCACGCGAATTGCAATAGCCTCTGCTGTTTTGAGCATGCGGTACCTGGATGATTTTAGAGATTTATTTAGTACCCGATAGATGATGACAAAGAGGGATTATTCAATGCTAGCTAGATTTAGGACCTGTTTGGACAAGGTAGTCAAATATTGAACTGTTGACAGGTTTTCACTACACCTTTATTTAGCTACACTGGTAGGTGTTTTCAAGCAAGCACAAAAAATGAAGTTCCTAAAGCAACGGCTAATATAACTCGCTCCACAAGTGTAGTTGAATCGGTGGATAAACGAAAAGGTAGCTAGTCTAGGTATTTCATCTTTGATTTGAAGAATCATAACAGGTGGTGTAGAAAATATGACTTGTAGTTTACCAGGAATACAATGGACGACCAATAAGAAGATTCTAGACTCGAGTGACAAAGCGATGTAGTGCATCCTGGCTTTCCAACACTTTGCTATCTAATTATCCTCAACAGTACCCTTTTAATAAAGGTCGAATCATATGAGCAGTGCTTCTAGTATCACCAATGATAACAGTAGTAGTAGTTATTAGAAATACTGATTTCCTGATAGAAATTTAAAACAATCAACAAAAGATAATAATTGTTAAGTGTCGATTTGCAGGGATTTGATTGGACAGTTACAGAATTGATCACGAGGTGATAATAGTTACAGAACACTTGGAAAAACAACCTTGGAGTACTGGACAACTGTTTGATCCTAGTTCTTGGGACTCCTCATCATTAAGCACCCACCACAAGCGCTCGAAACCTATGACTTTTCAGGTTCGAGGTGAGCTCTAAGACCAGTTATCCACTGGTGTAACAACAGAAGACAAGGGCCAGGCAACAGATCGTTTTATTATGAAAATCAACACGTATTTATACATATTTCACATACATTATTATAGACAAGCGCAGTCATCTGATTGGTTGTTTATCAGAAGTTAGGCAGACAAACGCAGGCTTCTGATTGGTTGTTTCGGGATTCCTTGACAAATAGAGTTCTCTATCTGCGAATCATATATTGCCACGTTAACTTTGCTGTGATTGGTTGTTGACTCAGCCTTGTTCATATTTTCTCACGGCCCATATTAACGTAGCTTAGTGTCAACCAATCGGCTAGCAGCCTGCTCTCACCACACTGGGAGGTGATCCAATAGACAGCATTTGCATTCTTTTAGAGAAATAATAATGCAATCAGTTTACAGTCCAGGACTCAGTTTGTGTAAAGGGAAGCTTATTTAGCAAAATCGTCTGTGTAATCAGTCAAATGGAAATGTGTATTCAAGGAAGTTAATAATAATTTTTCCTTTACGTTCCTCAGTGGAACATAGGGCCCCAAGCTAATGGCTTGAAGTTTCTATAGCAGTGTTTATTTTTTACACGATGGGGTTGCTAGCCAGCCTCATGCCCAACCTTTCCTCTTTACCAGCAGTATTTCTGGCTTAGCGAGGTGAAGGAGTGCGTCCTGTGGCCGGGAATCGAACCCCGGACCATGTGCATGGTTGGTGAGCGTCCTAACCGTTATGCCATCGACGCATAGTCAAGGAAGTTACAACGTAAATATTTCACCCCTTGGTCTAAACAGGAGACACTATTATGATGTAATACAAATTAATTCTTCCCTGCCTGCTTAGACCACTAAAACTTTATAAAACAAGTACAAGTTGGAGTAAGAGTAATTTCCGCATTAATTTCAAAAAACAGAGAAGTGATTGTATTAGGCCTAAATTTAACATTATTACCAGTAAGACACGGTTGTCTTTTATCACTGATGATTTCCTCTATTGCGGTGGACTGGAGTATGCGTCACACTGCGTAGAGTGAAGAGTCAGTAATAGGCCGGGCCACCGATAAGAATACTCTAGAAGATCTGGACTTCTCAGATGATACTTTCTTTTGATTTACAGCTTGATTCCACACTGTATTTTTGGTACAAGTATGGGATTTTCAGCATGGATATCGGTAGCCCAAATATTGCAGGCTGACCATAGATATCAGGTGTGCGCCGGCGTGGGCTCGTTCGGTGAGAGTCCTAACCACTGTGCCACCGACGCACACAAGTGGCCCTAAAAAGGGCCTTTGCATCGTTCTCTGGGTTCCTAACCAACAAACATCTAAGCACGCTCACCACGAATGCGACGAGCCAACTGGATGTCCTTTGGCATGATGGTAACACGTTTGGCGTGGATGGCACACAAGTTGGTGTCTTCGAAGAGACCAACCAAGTAGGCTTCACTGGCTTCTTGAAGAGCAGAAACTGCTGAGCTCTGGAAACGCAAATCGGTCTTGAAGTCCTGAGCAATCTCACGGACGAGACGTTGGAAGGGCAATTTGCGAATCAACAATTCAATGCTCTTCTGATATCGTCGGATTTCACGAAGGGCAACGGTTCCAGGCCTGTATCTGTGTGGTTTCTTAACACCACCGGTGGCTGGTGCACTCTTACGGGCAACCTTGGTGGCCAGCTGCTTTCTTGGGGCCTTTCCTCCAGTTGATTTGTGAGCAGTCTGTTTTGTACGAGCCATAGCGAAACACCGAGAGACGATGTCTAATGTCACAAAAACTCGAAGACTTATGGGCAGGTGAAAACCAACGAACTGGCTGAAGAAGGAGCCGGCGAAGACTGGACTCCAGGTGAGCATAGAGAAGATGCAGGTGATCAAGATAACCAACCAACCAACCAAACAACAGCAAAATCAACAACAGCCAGCACCAGTTACCATCAACATGAGAGATTTAACAGAGGTTACTTCCTTGACATATCTAGCCATGGAGCACGGTTTCAACCACAGGCCAGTGGGATAGATGAAGATGTCAAAATCAGCCGGAATCGGAAAGGTATGGCAAGATACGCCTTCATCAACCTGAAACCAATTCGGAAATATTCTGCACTCAGCAAAAGGAACAAGATACGGATTGTCAACACCAATGTCAAGTCAGTCACTTCTTCTATACATGTCAGAAACTTGAACAGCGAGTGTGTCACGAAAAGATTTCCAACAGCCTGCTACAGACTTTCATCATCAGCTACCTTTGATCCATAGTGAGGGTCAAATGGCCAGCTAGAAAAATTAGGCATTGAGAAACTCTGCCTGGGAACAAACTGACAGGCGAGAGTCTATAGCTCAATAAATATGTAGGAGACAATAAGGACGGATTGAACAGGCATCCATGGAGAAGACCGTCGAATGACACCGCTCACAATGCAGGCCATCTCTCGAGTGGAATGCTGATGGGAAGCGACGAGTAGGTCGTCAATGCTGTGGTGACATGGAGGAGATCGTGTGAGATGGAGGAGGAGGAGCAGAGAGATTGTGGGCAGTCATGATCTAAGCTGAAGAGGACGGCAAAATATAGGACAAAGTTGAGATGTGTTTTTGAAGCTTTATGTTCCACTCAGACCTCAACAGAATAATAATTATAAATAATACCAGAACTTGATTTGGATTATTATTATTATTATTGTATCCTTTAGTTCCTAGAGGAACATAGGGCTTCAGCTGCGCACCTCCACTGCCTTCGGTTTTCTGACAACTTTTTCACCCTGCTCCAGGTCTGTCCACATGCTTTCATCTCCTCCTCGCATGATCTCCTCCAAGTCACCCTTGGACGACCAACTCGCCGCTTCCCTTTCGGGTTCCACTCGAGCAATGGCTTGTCTAGTGATGTCACTTGTTGGTTTCCTCAGCGTATGGCCAATCCATCTCCATTTCTTTCTGCCTATTTGTTTCACAATCGGTTCCTGATTGGTTCGCTCCCAGAGATCCCTGTTGCTGATCTTTTCTGGCCATCTGATCTTGAGTATTGAGCGGAGACAGCTGTTAATGAAGGTTTGGAGTTTGTTTGAGATGCTCTTTATGACACGCCAAGTCTCTGGTCCGTATAGTAGCACTGACTTCACATTGGAGTTGAAAATCCGGATCTTATTTTTGATACTGAGTGCTGTTGACCTCCACACAGATTTGAGAGTAATGAAAGCTTGTCTTGCTTTTCAAAATCTTGCTTTGATATCCTCGTCAGTTCCGCCTGTAGTTGAGACGATGCTTCCCAGGTAGGTGAAGGAGGCTGTTTCTTTCAGGTTCTTCCCACTTATACTGATTGTTGTCTGTTGTTGTTGTTGCTGTTGATGTTGGCTAGGAATCTTCATCATCTCTGTTTTTTCTATGTTCACGTGAAGTCCTATCTTGGATGCTTCTTCTGCCAACTTGTTACTTTTCACTTGCATATCTTCCAGTTTATGGGAAATCAGACATATATCATCGGCGAAATCCATATCCTCCAAGTCTTTTGTGTCAGTCCATTTTATGCCTGTTCCCTCGTTGGTTGCCGTTGTCTGTCGCATTATCCAATCATTTGCAATCAGGAAGATCATTGGTGATAGTAGACAGCCTTGCTTCACTCCCGTCCTCACTTCGAAGCCTTCCGTAAGTTTCCCGTTGTGGATTACTTGGCATGCAGCATTGTCGTATAACTGTTGGATGAGATGTATAATTGTCGATGGGACCCCGTAATAGCGAAGTAGTTTCCAAATGACCTCTCGATAGACGCTGTCGAAGGCCTTTTCAAAGTCGATGAAGTTGAGATAGAGAGGTGACTGCCATTCCAAGCTTTGTTCAGTGATGATCCGTAGAGTGGCGATTTGATCAATACATGACTTGTTTCTCCTGAATCCGGCCTGTTCCTGACGAAGTTTTTCATCTAGGACTTGTTTGATTCTCTCCAGGATGATGCGACTTAGTATCTTGGATACAGGGATAATTTTAATGTCTTTCCACGCAGCAGATACAACATTACTGGAGAAGGAAGTATTGAATATGTTTGTAAGTGGGTAACATCAAAATATCAGCACATCTCCTGAGGACGACAGCAGATACACTATCAGGACCTAGACACTGGAGAGGTTTTAGACATAAAAGCCACTGATCATGCCATTTGTTACTTTGATGACCAAAGCATAATTAGTAGAGCATAGAAAAGATTTGTTGAAAGTCTTTACATCAACACAAGGGACATTAATACTTTCCTTACCGCAACCTGTCTCTACACGTTTCTAGGAGTTTAGCATGACAAGAGTCTTTTGGTTATAAATAGTGTTCAACCGTTGAATTTTTTGATTTAATCAAGGATGTTTATCCCTTTTTAGACCAGAGTTGTCTTTAGATTTATGCAGCCGCTCTTTTTCTCTTCGTAGCATTTTGAGATGAGGACAAGGGAAACGGTCCGGTCTTTTGTAAAGCGTGTGTTTAGAGTAGCATACGTCCAGGCAGAATTTAAGTTAATGCGTAATATTAATGATCATATCATTCAGTGTATGCTCAGAAAATATTCCTCAGTCAGTGTCATCTAGCATGTCTTCAGTAGTTTCCAACAGTACCAAGAACAGGACATTGTAATAAAAAAGGTTTTTGTATTTAACAATGAATGAAAAACAAAACGATATTGCTGTTACTTTTACTGGCGTTTCGCTATTTCATACTGCAGCTAATAGCTTTATCAAAGAATTATTATTAAACCAGAATTTACTAAATCCACTCAGCTTGCATATAACAACTTAATCATCGTTCCTCAGCATGGGGTCATTTTTCCGTTGTCAAACTGGCCAACTGGTAAAGATAAAAAAAAACAGGTGTAGATCACTGTTGGATTTGATAAGTGTGTGAAATAATAAACACCGCATGCGTGTTTACATAATGAAATTGTTTATCACATTCGTGTTGATTTTGTCATTTTATGGGGAGTGGGGTGGTAGGGTGTTGTAACCAGGTCAAATTCTGTTCTGAGTCCATCATTCTTGTTCAGATAATGTGGATTCCATTTGATGATGTGAAGTACTTGTGACGATATGAGAAGTTCTTTGCGATTTCTGAAATGCTTTATCTGGATGACGATTTCAGTATTGTCAAAATCAATTTTGTGGCCTGATTCTGTAGCGTAGCGTGTAGACGACCTATGTCTGATGGCTGATGATTTCTCAAGCTTTTCTATTTCAACTGGATTTATTTCTTGGTGGTTGAACACAGATTCTCTATGCTTTTCATTTCTTCTGACTGCCCTGATTTCTCTCTGGTGATGTTTGTCCAATGTATATCGCATTACATTCAAAGCAAGCATTTTATTTTATAGACACAATTAGATGGTGAATCTTTAGGTATTCGATCCTTTGCATGGACAAGGTTGTTTCACAGTGTCTCTAATGTTTTGAAGAAAACTCTGACTTCTTGCTTATTGAGTACTCTACTGATATCGTTTGACGTCTCTACTCCATGTAAAGTGACAGCTGTTGAGGTCCATGTTTTCGGAACACGTTTTTCAACCACACTTAATGTCAGTGTTGATTTTCTTGATGAACTTCTTTGGGTAGGTTATTTCTGCTTGAGAGTCTTAGTTTTGTTTGATATTTCTTGTTCCTTTTCTTTCTTATTCGTTAAATTCAAAGAGTGTGCTCGTCTAAGAAGACCTGAAACAACTTATAGCTTTGCATTGATGGCGTGTGATGATCCAAAGTCTAAATAATTGTTTGTTGAAGTGGGTTTTCTTCCTGAATATAGGTATTCTAAAATGTCCGTTTTTTCTCGTCTTAACTGGACAGGCAGTTTTTAAATGGTGGTTCACACTGACATCTGATTCTGCCTTCGAAGTTAACTGGATTCTGTGAGATAGACTGTTCAGTTTCTCCATGAATGAACTGTGTAGATATCGTCTTAGCCATACAAAGATATCCTCTACGTATCTTAACTATATTTTGAGAGTGAGTATGCTTGAAAAGATGTTATCTTCGAATCTATTCATGAAAAGATATCAACAACAATTGGGAAACTGGTGAGCCCATAGTAATACTTTGATACAGCTATAAACATTAAATAGTGAGATGTTAGTAAAAGCAGCTGCGATATCGTTTTGTTTTTCATTCATTCATTGGGAAATACAAAGATGAACCTTTATTATAATGAATATCATATACCCAATGCCCGACTTTCTTCAAACTGTTAAAAGTTCAGATAAAGCAATAAGAAGACGTAATTTGTCTGAATCGTGTAATGTATTTGCGCAACACATTTCGAACAATCTGATCACACACGGACTTGTCATAGGAATATATATATAAAAAATTAATAAAGAGGTAAGAGGTGAGAAAAATAGACTTAGGTCAAGTTAAAAGGACATATTCAAGGTCAAAAAATAAAATTGAAGACCACTAAACCAAATAGCAGAGGTAATAGTACATCTGCTATGGTATCAAAACAAAATTTACCAAGGAAGGTTTAATGTGATGACAAATTGTTTTTGAACGCATAAAGGTGGCTTGAACTTTCTAATTGCTAGGGCTTCTACAAACTTTAGGATACGCCCCAAACACGTTTTATAGATAGGTTTAAAAGATCTGTTAACATCAATTTTATGACCTGTCTCTATAATATGTTTCGCAATAGAAGAGCTAGGTCTCCTGTTCTCACCGTTAATAGGTTCTGATGATTCCATTTGTTTCTGGAGCCATTTTGGAATATGCTCTGAAGCCCTTACTTGCAGAGATCGATGAGTCCTCCCTATGTATGTGTGTCCACACGTACATTCAAATTGGTAAATACAGTGGGATGTGACGTCATTTTTCGCATGTTCGAAGGGCTTAGATAGATATAATGGCTTTACATTCTCTAATATTATGATATTAGCTGCATAAAAAGTCTTTTTAACAGCAGCGTTCAGCCTTTGTCTAGTTATCAAGCTGCTTTGATGTCCCATATAGGGTAGCTTGATGTACACGTCTTTCTTAGGGGCGAGTTGGAGAGTGGGTCTTGGTGTTCTGACTACTTTATATCTCCTGATGAACTTTTCTGGATAATTGTTATCAACCAGAGTTTGTGTCAATATTCTTTCTTCTTCATCAAGCGTGTCTTCAGTGCATATTCGTCGGATTCTACTGAAGAGGCACCTTACTAAGCCTCTTTTGTACCGAATAGGGCAGAAACTGTGGTAATTAAGATACTGTCCTGTCCAGGTAGGTTTTCTATAAATAGATCTTTTTATTGACCCATCAAGCCGTCGACTAAGCAATATGTCTAGGAAAGATAAACAATTATCTTCCTCTTCTACAGATGTAAGTGATATGCTATTCTGAACTTCATTCATTCGATTTAAAATTGAGGTGGCAGAACAAGGCTTATCACTGATGACTACGATATCATCTACATACCTTCTATAAAGTGGCACATTTTCGATTAAATCTTGTTTTGGACATATATAACAGGTTTTTTTATTATAATCATGCCATTTCCTAATGCTTTCTTACACTTTTTGCTTCATAGATATATTACAGAGAACTACGGCCTATAACTACTCCACCGACAAATTTAAAGACACCTGGAGCTTTATCAAGTGTCAAAGCATCTGGACTACAAGTTTACTCTCGAATGACTGGTTATCACAGTAACGCTGAGTAGATTGTCTCTACATGCCCACGATACTAGAAATAACGGTGTACTATGACTATTACATATATACATGGTTTCTTTTCCTCCGACCCTTTATTACCCCACCCCCCCCTCCTACTCATTATTCTTCCTCATGATTCCATTTCCAGCCTTATCCCTATGGTGTTATTGATTTTTTTTTTACCGTACACTCTATACATCAATAAATTCAAGGTGCATATTGTTTGGTTTATTTTTGATGGAGGCTGACTGACATACCTTCCTAATCTGATTGGTGGACATCGTATCATGCTGAAAAGAGCCTCCAATGTCCTTCATCTTATCATCATCATCATCATAATAATAATAATAATAATTCTCATCTGTCGTCTCTCGTAATAATAACTCCCCACTAAATTATCATTCTTGTAATCATGATTATTGCCGGCATTAAAATTTCTTTTATTCATCTAAAATGTTGAACAGCATCCAATTGTGATGATATCACCTGGTCTTTCTTTATCGGGGAGGAGTAAAAATCAATATGAAAAACGAATGTAATCACTGAAGATATGATTTTTATTTTTTTTTTCTTTAAAATGTATACATACACACAAACTGTACACCTTTTCATTCAATATTCAATGGATACTTCTTATTTGATTCTATTGTTAACTTCTTTGATATTTTTTTTTGTTTATATAAATGAAGTGAACAAAGTACAAATATTGAACCATTAAATTTCTACTGGCGGGAAAGATTATTTTGAATTATTTTTTTAAAATATGAAAGTGGAGTAGTTGTTGTTTTTTTTAATTTTTAATTTTTATTTTTTAAATAAATTGATAATTTTCCTTTAATTAATTAATTATTTATTTATTTATTCGTTTAAACACAAACTTCATTCAGTGAGAGCGTCAGAGAAAATGTACACAAAAACATTAAAATACAATATACGGAAGAGAAATAGAATGATTCAGGGACAGGATCATGAAGAACGGGCTAGTATACTGAGCCATATCTGATAAAGTTTCCAGACACTGATTCTGACTATCTCTCGGAAACTATTCAGGGAGACATGCTGGGCTAAGAGATGCCAGATTAGCACAACTATCTAGCATTACTTCGCATCATTTCATAGGCTGATCACCCTTCAACTTTCACTAACTAGTAGATATTGTAGAAGTCACTAGGATGGTATTCCTAGTACATATCTGTGATTATTCGGTCATATGCATAGACTTTTACGGGAACCGAGATAACCGAACACACAGAGTTAATACACACCCTTCTGCTCGGTGGGGGGGGGGGTAGGTTTCCCTTGAGTACAGAGCGTCTGACAGCACTGAAGCAAATGGAAACCCAATCTTTTCGATAGACAGGTTAACATCATCACTACACGGTTAGAGTTCACACCCTTCAAACCTATCGACTAGTTCTGACGTCGCACCTATAAGTCTGTGTGCAGATACAGTCTCCTGCTAATCGAATTAGTAATTTTCAAATCGCATAGGCTGAGGTGAAGATCTAACACCGTCACTTGAAGAATACGATTCTGCTGTTGATATAAGTGTAAAACTTGGGCACTGTGGTGGTACAGTATAACTCCATTATAGATAAGATTTCATTTTGATAAATCACACAGTGTTACACAGTAATAATAATAACTGATGACCTTGTTTCGAGCACAAACTATTGCCACTCATAATCATATCTAGTCACTACTCACACAACTTTTTTCCTTCATTAATATACATGTGTGGAGTCGATTAGATATTGGAATAAAAATCAATATGTGATAATATGCATTCAGAAATAATAATATTAGTGTTATTGATCAATTACCACCAGATGGGAAATAAAATGAGTGTTTTTATAGTCAAAGTAAGTTACTTGTTAGAATGTTGTGATGTGTTTGAATTGAAATAGAATCTTGAGATGATTTATTATCCTCTTCTGATTTGACTGGCGGTATTAATATCTTGCATATTTCTGGTATTTGCATTGAGCCATTTCATTAGCATGTGTTGTGTTGGATGTAGACTCGATGAACCCTGGATTCAGTAATCAATCTCTCTTTCCAACTACATAGATTACTTCTAAAAATCTTAACCCTCTCCCACCCTATCTTGTGTGGTTGTGTGTTAATGCACGCATTGCACTTGCTGAGCTTTTTTCTAAATTACTTATCTTCTCGAAGTCAATCATTCTTACCTTAGCCACTAAATTCTTATGTTCCGCCAATCTGACTACCCCGATCTACTAGTTTGACCTATGTAGTTGACCCTACAGTCATTGCAGGGTATTTTGTAAATTTTATTATTTTGTTTGATTGAGTTCCCTGGGTCCTTTAGCCTACAGAGCTTGTCTCTGAGTGAGTTTGTAGGTTTGATTGCTTCCCTAATTCCTGCTTTATTAAGAATCCTACGTAGGGTGCACCAGGGCGTCGGTGGCAAGGTGTTTAGGACGCTCACCGACCATGCACATGGTCCGGGGTTCTATTCCCGGCCACAGGACGCACTCCTTTACCTAGCTAAGCCAGAAATAATGCTGGTAAAGAGGAAAGGTTGGGCATGAGGCTGGCTAGCAACGCCATCCTGGTGATGAGATCAGATCCAAATGAGCACAACAGTTAACTTGCATTGAGATCACTTCTATCTGACCACTACTCATTTCAAATTAATCAGTAGGATACACTAACACGCAATAGCAGAGGAATTGCTATGAAAAAAGCATGCTAACGTAAATTCTTCTAAATGTATGTCTTTTTAGAAAAGTTACCAAGAGGACGCCTCCAGCTTAGTGAAAAAATATAAAAATCATGTTAGATTATAAAAATATAAAGAGTTTATTGTTGCATTATTCCTAATAAAAATTTGCGTGAAAATTTCTGACGTCTTCATTGGTGCATTCGAAGACATTTAAAAAAATTCCTCAAAGACATTGGAAGTTTACATTTTAACTGCAATATTTGTAGGCGGCATTCAGACTACAGATAATCAGAAAAACTCAACTCTTGCAAACTTTAAAAACACTGAGATTTATGAACACAAGAGTATTACTCTTTCAGATAAGTTCTTCTTCATCAGGTTCTACAATTATATGTCCATAATAATTGGAAAATATATGTTGCGGGCAAAAAACCAACAAACTGGCTGAAGAAAGAGCCGGAAAATACAGGACTCCAGGTTGAACATAAATAAGATGGAGGGGATGAAACCAACCAACGAATCGCAACAGCAACAACAGCCAGTACCAACCACAATCAATGGGAGAGATTGAACAGAGGTTACCTCCCTCATCACTTCTCCGGGAAGCATCGTTCCAACCACAGGCAGCCGGAATGGACAAAGATGTCAAAGTCAGAACTGGAAAGGCAAGGCAAGATTCACCTTCATCAATCTGAAACCTGTCTGTAAATCTTCTCCAATCCACCTCAGCATAAGGAACAAGATTCGGATCCAGTTCCACATCAATGCCAAGTCGGTTCTTCTATACAGGTCAAAAAATTGACCGGCGTGCAACGGAAAGGATGTCCAACAGCTTCTGCAGACTTTGATCAATAGCTGCCTTTTACTCCATAGTTAGAATTAAAAGCTGGTCAGAAAGAATTTAGCAATAAGAAACCCTGGCTGACTGGAAACACACCAACAAGCGAAAGTCTACTGCTCAACAAATATGTAGAAGACAATGGGGATGGATTGATCGGCCATACATAAAGGAAACCATCGAATGACATTGCTCTGAATGCAAGCCATCTCTCCAGTGGAATCCCAATTGGAAACAGTGGTGTGGTGACATGGAGGAGATCACAAGAGTTGGGGGAGGAGATGAGAGATTGTGGGCAGTCATGGTCCAAGCTGAATAGAACGGCAGAAAACAGAACAAAGTATAGATGTGTTGTTGAAGCGGTATGTTCCACTGGGAAGGCAAGGGAATAAATAACATCCAATCAAATATCACTGGAAGCATCTGTAAGTGATAATATGAATCAGTTTAACACACCTAATTAAACACCAGATATATTAAGAGATTTAACACAGAGCATTTGTGAATTTATTGATAAGATTGCCGGCTAGGGTAACGATAGTGCCTGGGTCTGATACTTCTGCACTCGGAGCTTCGGTTGATTTACGCGAATTACAAAGGTCTCTGTTGTTTGGAATGTTTGGTAATGTAGATGTGTAACGAGAGAAGACGAGAGACTTGATAACTGGATGATTGAGACTGGACTGAAGTGTTCTGCCTCAGGCTGATATTTCGGTGACGTGTGTGGATGCTTCAACGATGTCCAAGGACTTAAACTGAAGTGACTGAATGAGTGGTGACCAGGAGTGAAATGTAAGAAGCGCTTTTCATCCTATTCGGGAATCAGCAGATGGATATACATGCATTCATAGAGAAATAATTAATTGATAGCGATTACACAAGAGTTGGCCTTCTCGGACCAAGTGGTCTAGTAGATAACGCCTTGACAATTGGAACTATGGGTACTGGGTTCGACCATCACTGGAGAAAGCACGAACATCCAAGTTACAAGCGCCCCATGGAATAAAATGTTCATGATCCTGGATTCCACTACTAGCCACCATCCACAAAACCTTGACTTGGGCTATGATAATTCAACTTCCTCAAATACATAAGTGATTCAATCAAATCTTCTATTCCGACTGCAGTTTTATGGAACTGCTCAAAAAGGATATCTGAGGCAAAAAACAACAACCGAAACCCTTCCATGTCTTTTGTGTACAGGACGAAGTATTGATTTTGCACTAGTGAGTTAGACAGGTAGAGAGATAGATAGATAACCAGTGCCATCATAACTCAACCTCTCTCTCTCTCTCTCTGAGGATGGCGATGATAACTGTGATGAGCTATACGATACACACAGAATATCACAGTTAATAGAAAATTATGAAAAACAATATGAGCAGATGGTAAAAACACAAAATAAAATCAATTAACATGGTTTATAAATTTATTTATTTATTTTCAATTCTGTGTTTCAACATGTTTGAACAAGTCAAACAAAATAATCTTCATGAGTTGGAAGAAGTTAGAATTCATAGACTGACCATAGGCTGATCGGGTCGCAGCGGCTCAATGGTCTACCACATTGCTGGCCTTTTGATCAGAAAGTCCTGGGTTCGAACCCCGCTGACGGCGGGTGCGTACTGCCGAAGAGCCAGTCCCAAACTAGACTGACGAAACAGCTCTCCATTACTCCAGTACTGCAGGTTTTCCAATGGTTCTCTAACTAATGTCAGCTCATGATGAAATCCTGAAACAATTCGAACAATCTGATCACACTCCACCAACTTGTCATAGGAGTACACATATGAAATTAATAAAAAGTTAAGGGGTGAGAAAATAGACTACTTAGATCAAGTTGAAAGGACATATTGAAGGTCGAAATAACAACAGCAGTGAAGATCACTAAACCAAATAACAGAGGCAGGTGTAAGTGATGTGGTGGTGTGATACTGACAGACAATGTGTGGCGACAGAATGTTATTCTCACACATTCTCACAGTTCAATACTGAGTTTAGCAATAGAATACGATGTGCCCATTTCAACATGCTATTTGATGTTAGAGACACACACACACTTCAGTACTCCATTAACATGAACATTCTATTGTATAGGACAGACACTACACTGGTAACTAACTTGTTTCCAATCAAAGTATCCAACGCAGTCCTACAGGAGGTCAATCGCGAGCCCAAATGGCTAGCACAGTAATAATGTCTCTGACTGCAACACTGCACTGGCTCATGTGGGTTCGAATCTCATGAGGGACATGAGTTCCTTCAAGGCTGCATATACGCCTTGCTGATGAGTGCCAACTAGCAAGGCTTCC